ACTCGTTTGCGAGAAAATGACGATTTACCTCTGTGGCGAGGTCCAGCTGTAAAGAAAAAGCCGCCATTTTTTAATGCGCGCGCGCTAATCACGCGTGAGATTATGCGCAGTAGGGATACGCAATGCAATACTGGGGAATAACCGTAAGTCGCCTTAAGTTGCCTTAAGTTGCCCTAAGTCGCCTTAAGTTGCTATCGGCTACGCAATGTTCAAAAGGTTCCTACACACTCAAATTGCCCCCTGTACGAGGTTATTAGACATATAACTGTCACGTTAGGGTAAACTCCACTCCAACCGTATGGAGGAGGAGGCACGATGGCCCAATGGTTGGTGCAATGGACCCCTACTGGGGCTTATTACATTGTGCCAGTAGAGTTTGGCTATTGTATTTTATTTGGAGCATGTCAAAGCAAAGAAAATCACTGTGAAACTACTAGAGATAAAGGGACAATCACATACTTTCAGGAACACAACTTACAGTAATGCAACAAGACTTCGCCTCACCATGCAATATCAATAATTTTGATGGCATCGAAAATAGCAGAGGCTGACTAGGGTCCTTTAAGAAGCAATTATTGTATTATGCCTTAAAGCCATGGTTCCCTTATACATAAAAAAACCCCTAATATTATAATAGTCCTGCGCCTGTCTAGCGCCCATGTTAGCAGAAATAATGTCTACATGTAGACAATACCTAAATAGGAATGACAATCTGATCTATACTCTCTCACAGATGGCTTTGTATTTCTATTAAGTTTTAATTTTTTCTTGTATTTCATTGTAAAAGAGTTAATAAAAAAGATGTCACTCTGTGTTATCATCAAGAAATATCCTAAATATGGAGAAATATAACAAATGACTATACTGCAATAATTTTATTTAAGCTTATTTTAATGTTTGTAAGATATTACTGAATCAAATCTTTCGAAGACCTATAGTGTATAATTGATAAACAACAACAGTGAGAGATGTTCCAGATCATCAAGATGAAAAGAAAAGAAAAAAAAACAGAAAGATATTTCTGGGTTAAGGCTCAATTCGTTCTAATCACTTTTACACTAAGCAGTAAAAAACCAAATGGTCATCCAAAGTCAATTGGACCGAACTGAGTCTAGGCTTTAAGTACTTTACTTACCCAGTGTAAAAGAGTGACAAAAGTGGGCCATTTCTCCAGCAAAAGTCATTGCATTTTACTTCCACATTCGGCCAACTCTAAACGTTTGAATTTCGTAATTGGACGAACCAACTTGCAGCATAATATCTATCCTTTTCATACATTTGATGAAGCCAGGTATTCAAATCATCTTATACACTTAACGTGGACTGCGCTACAGTTACTATCGAAAGCTAAGGTACAGAAAATTGTCTATGATCAATTCTCGGTAAACATGGCCGCCAGGCGAATGTTTGGAACACGTGACTTAGTTTGGCCCCGTGACCTAAGTGTACGCGAGCTTACGCGATATGATTACTCCGACAGGCCTTTAGAAAAAACAAGAAAGAAAACAAATCGCCAAACTAATACTCTCCGAAATTTGAATATAGTGATTTATTATCGGGTGATTTGAAATAAATCTACATTCGGGATCACTTAGCAGGAGAACTCGAATTTTCGTGGCACAGGGCGATATATTGTCTCTTTGAAGCATGGAAACCAGTTAGCGGCGCAAGGGTTACTGGTAGAATCAAAATGGTGGAGACCAGTGTGTCTGGCATCGATATATCAATTTCTAGTATTTCGTTGTGAAAATGTCGTTGTGGGCATTTGGTATGTGTCAGGTGGAAACTAGTGAAAGCTTGGAAGGTATATTTCCTGGTGGTCTGATCAACCGTGGTAAAAAACCTTCTAGAAAGATTGGATTCACTGTCAGTAAACTTGCCAGGGTCATCAAAGTTTTCTTGAGCCAGATAAGTACATGTAGCTGGTGAAATTTGGCAGGAAGTGTTCTTACGTAGGAGCTTAGCATGCGGTACTCATTACGGTATTGGGATGTTTTGTCTGACTGAGGTAGGAGAGCAACAAATCGAATGGGGCCCTGAAAAGGACTGAGCAACTTTGGAAAGCCATGCCATTTGTTAAACTCCCATGCCAAAAGTGACAATGGAGATGCCAAAAATATGGCAGATAAGTCTACCAAAATACTCATTTTTATAATTTGGGAAGCATTGTAAAATAAATGCATGTAAATAAGCTAAATTAATTTTAATTTCCCTGTCTTTTGAATAATTTATGGAAAATATACAGACATTTCAAATTAAATCAAGAGATATTAAATTTAAAACTTTTGTCACTGTGAATATATTTTTATTAGTTTTGTTTGATCGTTTTATTGTGACATCTTCACTAATATTCATGCTACCTTGCCGGTATTTATTGTTATTATTGTTCTTATAGTAGTAACTGTTCAGTGTTGCGGTAATTCTTCTTTTTAGTATTTTTTTGTAATGGTTTGAAATCTGTCCCGGATTGTTCGAAAGCCGGGTAACGCTAACCCAGGTAATATATTCTTTTTATAGAAATATCTTTCACTGCTTATGGTTGTGTAGTTTAGGATGAATCAAACTCAAAAGTGAAAGACAAACAACATAAACAGAAAACTGGACCAAAAAGCTACAAAAATGAAAGTATTCAAAATTCTCTCTAATCCTGGGTTAGTTTAATCAGGCTTTGAACAACCCGGCCCTGGATTTTTGAGACTGTGGTGACTTAATTATGTACCAGTATTGGTACAATGTTGGTTTATTGCAAGAGATACATGGAGAGACTGTTGCTAAGTTTAAACTTTTTATCACTCGAGTGAAATAAAGTCTCCTCAAGTCGCCTTAAGTCGCCTCAAGTCGCCTAAAATTGCCTAAAATCGCCAAAAGTCGCAATGTTTTTTCTGCCAATTCTACTTAAGTCGCCTAAAGTCGCCTTAAATCGCCCAAAGTCGCCTTAAGTTAAGGTCCCAGAGTAGGCCTAATCAAGACAAGCGATAATTTAGTCACAAGCTAACGTTTATACCCATAATTGTGGATGCCACAAAAATAGATTAAAGTTTTCGGTCTCGGCGACTCGATTCTGATTTTGAAAATAACGCCGGAAGATTCAGCTAGTGATCGTTTACATTTAAAGGAAGCCAAACAGCGCGCTAACTATGTACTTATATCATTATTCATAGAGAGAAAAACTTGTGCACGCACAATAGCAAAAACTAAGTGGGTGTTGTTTATATTATCATGTTCGCCTTACCGCGAGAGGCCACCATCGGTTCTATATCAGTTATTATTTGTAGCTTACAATCAAAATCTGCCTACTCAACCGTAAATGCAATTAAGTCTTTGATTGAAAAAGCGAGTTTTCTTATTCCAGTTTCGAAAGGCAGGTTTTCGAAGACAAAAAAACACCGACCGTCAAAATTATTCTTTGTAGTATTTTGAAGGCTTCTAGTAAATGATCGAAAACATACTTTTCAATCATGTTGCATCTGTTTTCAGTGCTTAGCATTTTTATGAGAAAAAACACGACACACGATCTCAACCTAAACAATGTCAGTGCACATGACGTAATTTTAAGTACATTAGAGGAACATTTACGCAGACATGTCACCGAATATCTATCTGTGAACTTCCGGTTTAGAGATGATCATCGCGGAAACGTTTCAATGAAACTTCAGGTTTCGTGCCAAGATTGCCAAGTGAAAGGCTATAGCCCTTAGATAATTCAGAATCTAAGTTCCAACTTCATTCTACGCTGGAATCGCGAAGGAAACCATACAATGGTGCAGTATACGCCAGCGAAAAATGCTAATTAACAATTGAAAAGACGGCCAAACATTGGTGAGTGTGTCCGCATCCTTCCTTTAATTTTTACCATGCCACTCTTGAAAATTTGAGTTTAATTTTAACCAAGGCATTTTCGAAACCATCTCATATTGAATTTGCTGATGAAATTGTCATCTTTTTTTCTGGGAGTATATTCTTGCAGTTCGCCTAATATAAGAAAGTTTTTAATTAAGGTGAATGATCGAGCGACACACGGTTTATGTTATGTGGTCCGCTGCGACCACTGTCGACATAAACGCATTAATTAGAAAAGTGGCCACAGGATAACTCTTAATATGAAAGAATTGTCGCTTGTTTCTAATTATTTCTTATCATTTTAGACTCTTACATTTAACTTAGTTGTTATTCAATCGGTCAATCAATCAATCAAGTTACTAATCTCATGCGTGGGAAGAGGTTGCCACCGGTATCCGAACCAGGGCTTCATGTATAAATTTATAAAACGCATGGCAAAAATAACAAAAGGAAAAACTAGTTAAATATCAATCAATAGATAAAATTATAAATAAAAGTGTGATAGTGAAATATAAATATAAAATATGAAATAACTGCGTTCGACAGAACGCAGTTCTAATCGCGTAATACATAAAAATTCGAGATCTGTGTTTCTATCTATCTATCTATCTGTCTATCTATCAATCAATCTATCTATCTATCGGGGGCACCAATTTGGTCCCCCAAAAGAAATTCTTCAGGGGCGAATGACGTCATCTCTTTGTTCATCCATATGCTTTCTTTCGACTGTTGCGCAATAATGTGGACTTTCGAGTGTCGAGGCGGCTTATTGTAGACTGTACCGGATACTGAAGTTCAGTATTAATGGCATTTTAAAACCTTGCAGACATGTCTTAATGAAATGTGCACGACTTTTCGTACGAACAGAAAGCTGTAGTTTGGCTGCGGGGTGTGTACCCTCTTCTCTTCGACAAAAACCAACGCTGCTTTCTGCTTAATAAATGAAAGGAGGAAATTTGTAGTTTCACTTCTGTCGCCTAGATTTCTGTGCACAAAATGTGTAACATAAACCCAATGCGCGACGAAAGTGTTTGCATAGGAAAAGAGTTCAACTCCTACAGGATTGCTCTGGTACACCAATATGGCCTCCGTTTCATTGTTTTGGAAGTGAAAATGCCCTGTAGCTCTTACCCCAAAGCCAAGGCGATTCAAAGTCGTGTTCGTAAACAAATAATTGTCCTAGTTTTGGTAATAAAAGCACGTCGTCTCGCGTACCGACGGAACAAACATGATTGGTGTCGATTTACACGGTCAGTACAAAACATGCACTGGGGACTGCGGACTGCGGACTGGGGACTGCGGACTGCGGACTGCGGACTGCGGACTGGGGACTACGGACTGCGGGCTACAGACTACGGACTGGGTACAAAACATGAACTTAGGTATAAAACGTGGACTAAACTTACGGACTGGGCATAAAACGCGCGCAGACTCAGGTATAAAATGGAGATTGCGGACTAAATGCGGCCTACCGACTGCAGTTCATGTATTTTACTGACCCGGTCGTAACTAATATTGCATAATACATGTATAAACGAGAACAAACCCTCTCGTATTCACGTTCTTTGCGATCATTTCATTGATTTTCACCCCTGCTGAACGGAGACCAATTTCACGGCTACCTAAAAGCTCAGGCACAAAATGCTGTCCCTAGAATTTTTTTTTTTTTTTTTTTTTTTTTTTCAACATACCAAACCTACGAAAACTCTAACGCACTCTTTAATCTACGATTACTACTAGTATAAAGTTATAGATGCATATATACACCAAGCCAAAAACTGTGACATCTCTCAGCAATGCTAATTAATGTTATCAATTAATGATATCAATGACATTCTGGTCTATTGTAGTCATAACCGCATTAGATAGAAAAGTGAGGATGAAATAATTGTTGATTTGAAAAAATGCCGCTAATTTCTAATTATTTTCTTGTCGTTTTCAATTCTAGATGCTAACAAAAGCACTATTTATATTGAAGAACTTTTACATTTAGCTTAGTTGTTATTAAAGTGATAAATGGTATTCTAGGCAGTTATCATATGTAAGTCAGTTTGTCGAGGTTGTTTATTTGTTTATAGTCCGTAGGAAAGTTCTGCATGTTTGTCAATACGGGTAGAAATTTAAGAGAAGGCTTTGAATTAGTATGCGGTAATCAAATATGGTGAAGAGTGAAATTAGGAAATAATTTCAAGCGCGTATTGTCAAAATACCATATGAGCACCTTTTAATATCATGGGTGACAAATTACCCTTACAATCGTGGGGTTCTAACTTTTTTATAGTATCGAGAAATTTCGCGCCAAACGTTGCCATGGCAGTTTTATAAGTCAAAAGTAAAATTGTTAATTAACGCTGAAATTTGGCGCCAAAACTAAGGAGTTATTTGTCACACATGATATTCTAGCTGAAATATTAACTGCGAAGTGAGCCCCTTCAACAAAGCATCCACCATTTTGTTTTGTTTATACACTGAATTAATAGATGACAGCTGCTATTAGGGATAGCTAACACAGACAATGTTTTAAGCATGCGAACAATTTTTAGTACTCATTCTAGTACTAGTACGCATTCTAACTTCACTCGTGGGAACTAACTTTTACCAGCTGTAAAACGTTATTGTTTAACCCTTGAGCTAATCGGTGCTAAAAAGGTCTTCTATTTAAGGCCGTAGAATTAACAAATAAAAATGTTCCAGATCAATTTACAAACATTTCCGAGAATTCCTGGTGACTTCCGAGACCTGCGAAGATCAACGAGTAAGTTCCGAACAATTTTTAAGGTCACTAAAATGAGGAGAAAAAAGAAACTGTCCAAGCTACACTGGTATGGAGAATGATCTTCGAGAAGAATACCAACAATGTCAGCATTTGGTATGTTTCCCAGTTTAATCCCCCCCCCCCTTCCTCCTTGTACGTCCGTGGGTTAATTTGTTTTTTAAAAATACAGCACCCTTATCATCTGATCTGAGAAGCGTCATTCTATTTTGTTGCCTATAAGACCTTGAATTGAATCTTTTGCCCGTTCAAATATGGGGTATAATTTACCCTAAGTTCTTATTCCGGCTTATGAACATCTCAAACAGCATCTGATAATTTGAACGATATATATATCTTATTAGATGTTTTGGTGTGTAGTATCGCTGTATATTTTCACGAGTTGTGCCGTATTTTGATGAGCCCGTAGGGCGAGTCAAAATACGAACAACGAGTGAAAATGTACAGCGATACTACACACCAAAACATCTAATAAGAGATTTATTATCCAACTGCTGTAGTCAATAATTTTATCAATGAAAGAGGGAGAGAGCGACAGTTTTGCGTGCGCGCCGACCTGTACGGCAAACAGGTTTTCTACTGTACAAATACGGCAAACAGGTTTTCTACTGTGCAATATCGCTGTATATTTGTATTGTTATTTGGACGGTATTCGCTGCAGTTGGATAATAAAGACTTGTATTAATTTATTAATTTTCATTTCGCTGACGAAAAAATTAACTTTGAAATATTTTGTCGCATCACATAAAGTTAAATGAAAATGTCGAATGTTAGCAACAACGTACTCATCTCATTAAAAAGTTAAGTTACAACGATGAAAGCCGCTTCAGTCTTGTCCGATCGACAGTACGCTGTATAGCCTTCGTGCCAATACCTTTAGCTTAGAACATTAGGCAAGGAAATGTCGAACGTTAGCGACAACGTACATATTTCATTAAATAGTTAAGTTACAACAATCAAAGCCGCTCCAGTCTTGCCCGATTGACAGCACGCTATAACCTTAGTGCCAATAACTTAAGCTTAGAACAATTGGCAAGAACCTCTACTAGTAAAAAACACTTGATGGGAATTTTTTCTCACAATCACGTAAAACATTGGCTCTGAATAATTCTGTTTAAAACGCTAATTTGTATAAATTTTGTACTCCCTCGCATAATTTGACAACCTCAAAATATTACTGTTTGATCACTCAGTTTATTTGAACGTAGTAAGGTAAAATGTTATAAGTATTATATTAATGTTTATTTCCAGCCTCGAATCACTGACAGTTAAGAAAACGAAACTGTCAATCATTGATACAAAAATTAACAAGCACGTTTGACATATTAGCGTTACCGAACAGAATTTGATAACGAATAGAAGTCAGACATGTATTTATTAAATCCTTTCTGTAGTCTAATTCTGTATCACCGTCAAATTTGGAATGAAATTTGAAATAAATTTTGCGAATTAACTCACGCACAATCAGTATAAAGTTACGAAATAAGACAAGACTGAAAAACATGAAGCTTAATGTATTTCGTTTTCAAAATCATGGAAGACTTTTGTAAGAAATGAATGCCTCTTATAATAATCTTATTGAATTTATACATGTATTTTGCCATTCCTCTGTCAGTTTCTTCAACTGATCGAAAAGAAAGCATAAGGAATGATAACTAAATTATCACTGAGATATGTGAGTGGAAGTCAATGGAAGAGAAACATCCGAAACAGCGTGTTAAAAATACATCCCACCTTTACCTTGGTTCGTGTTGATTTTGTGAACACAAGAGATTAGTTATTTTGATTCGACATTTCAAAGCGCTAGTTAATTACTTGCGTTCTATTCGTCAGTTTTAATTCGACGAGGTCAACTGAATGGAGTAAGTTTCTCTCGGTTTCATTCAGTCGCCATTTCTTGTATAAATAATATATTACTGGAAACGCTGGGTATAATAACTTTAGAACTGCGACTGATGAATTACTTGCTGCTGAAGAAAATTAGAGGCAAGGCCGCTTAAATCATTCATTCGCGACTCCACAGACAAGGGTAAGCGTATTTCTTCAATTTTATTTGCAGTATTTAGTAGCCAAATCTTTCAAGTCGGGGACGTTGTGTACTGGTAACTTTAGAAACTGTTATATTGAGGTTACGCCGATCTGTTTTGCTAAACATTGTGCAAAAAGAAACATTGCATCTTCCAAACACTTCCACTACATGAACCACGACACTTATTGTCTAGATATATAAGCAATCTTTTCTTGCTTTTTCTCTGAAATAAGGTTTTTATTGACGCCCAAATTGAGGAAGACAAAGTAAAGTTACATTTTTGTTTGCGACGCCTTATCAAAATTTGAAAATGTTTGCCTGGAAATCAGTTTTATTTCTTTAATTCGAATTAAATTAGAATGTATATGCAACTTCCATTCGTCTTCATCCACAAGAGATGAAAAATTAATTAAATCTATGTTAAGATCGTCCATCTACACATTTCTGTTGTAAAAGGTGTAAAAGTTAATAAAGAGCGAGATCTGCGATAACACATTTCGTTTAAATTAATCGGTACCGATCTGATAAGTTATCAATTTTCTGCGAGGAAAGTCGTTGATAATGAAACTTTTTTCACAATTGCGTTTACAGAAAATCCAGCCAATATATTCTGTGTTCTTGAAAAAAAATAGCAATTCTTAATAATTAATTCTTTCCTATTTATAGTTACTCGGAAATTGTAGTATTTTAATTACAGGATGGAAAGAAGGGATATAATTACGATCTTTTTTCATTGTATGATTTCAAAGTTTTTCCTCATTATTCACTTCAAGAAATTATCTTTTTATGATTTTGTGTCTCTTTTAAAAGCAGATATTTCCTTTTAAGAATAGTGTATTGAGACCATGAAGTTAGCAAAAGTGTCATGACGTCAATAATAACAAACGAGATTTTTTTAGAACATTTACGTAACCGTAAATGGAGGGCCCCTCTGGATATCAGCCTCGTCGCTGAATGGGCCACCCTGGCTAAATAAAGTTTACCTTTACCTTTACCTTTACCTTTACCTTTACCTTTACCTTTACCGTGAAGCTAACGGCCGTTATCACTTCTTGTTAAAAGTCTGAATGGCGTAGATCAATTTTACTTCAAAACAACAAAGACAACACCAATTTCACCAAAGGGATTCTCTTTCGGAGTCTGGTTTTTGGAATCAAGATACCATACCAACCAAAAACTTTAGAAGCTAAAGGAGTTAAGTATCAAAGCATTCAAAAGCATCAAATCAATAGTTTTATATAAATAGAATCAGGTTAAAAATGTCTTGAAGATTAGAAGAACAAAGTGCAACTGTTAACAACTCTTGAGTATCTTTCCTCTTTAAGGTTTTAACATAAGAGAGACTTCTTATATCATAGATAGCGTTAGAAGAGTAGCTAATTGAGATCACCTTTTGTCAGTTCTTGGTTGAATTAGTGTTGTGACGGGTTAACAATTATAGTACCTTCCTATAAGTATTTAATTTCTCTCCTGATCACCTTCAGAAAGTTTGATAGTTTTTCTTAGAATTCTTCCCATTCTTCCCCATTAAGTTTATAAAAGCTGTTTCTGTGCGAACACTTTTTGCTCTGAAAATGGAGTAAAACAAAAAAAGCGTCAGATTTTTCATGGTGAACACAGTATATTTTTTCCTCGAATCAATTAATTGGCATTTTATCAACACTGATTTTACCGGAAAGCCCTGAATTTTTACAAATAACTGATAAAATCCTACATTTCTCCTTTTCTTCCTTTCCGGATTTGTTAGATTAAAATTGTGCGATCATTTAATTCCGGCTGCGTTTAACAGTCACATTCGCTTCAAAAAAGTGTTTTAAAAAATGTCATTCTAGGAAGTCAACATGAAAACAGTAGCAACCAGGAGGATTTCTCAGAAGTATCAATAACAGTAATAGATCAGCCTGTAAAACTAACGACTGAGCTGCTAAAAACATTCACACTAAAATATAACTACCAAAAATTAGAAAATGACTGCATGAGCGTTATACAAAACAGGAGAATAAAACTTGAAATAGTTTCAGATATTAAGCATATCCGGTACTTCGGTATCGCTCATATAAGTTCATACATTCACTGAAATCGATCTTCTACTATCCTTTTTTGCTAATATCTATGAAAACTTTCTACATTAATGCATGATCTGACATCTGTCATTTATTGTTATCTAAGTATTTCCTCGGTAATGTTCCCCGCGCAGTAAATTAAAGTGCTCCATTTTGTTTCATTAATATCACACTTTATATAACCTCAGCCCTAGGCAACTTGGAATTTATCGAGAATTGTTATCGTTTGCGGCGAAATCTGCTTCCGTTTAGAACATTTCTTTCTCTCTCCCCTTAAACAAAAGTAATTTATAAAGTTTTAGAAGTCCAACGAAATTTGGTGATAAATTAAGAGTTTCTTCTAAAACTGTGCATACCACTCGAAATCCCTTCTGTTACATGTTCCATTAAGACACTATTACTGTTATCATGATTTTTATGGATTAGCGTTATTTCTCATTTCTGTCAGACACCAATATCTTAAATTCGCTCAAATCCGCCGCCATTGGTGATTTTTTTTTTCGGCTTGCACTAATTATCTGTCACAGGCGAGACAAGCATAGATGTTAGCGAAATCTAAAATATCGCAGCTTTGATCGAGCTATGATAAAAAAAAATTGTCAAAGTAATTGTCAATAGTTTGGATTTTTGTACCGATTATTTTAAAGTCCACTTTTACGTACCTGGTAAGTCGCTTTGGACTTTTTTTCATTTTATTTTTATAATTTAATATAACAGCCCTTTTATTTGTAACTATTTTTTTTGAAAGACCATGAAGCGAGCGTTTATGAGAATACATATCATTTGAGCGGAGCAAAACATCAGAACTGCGTTATTTATAATAGAGAATGATGTTGGTCATCTTTTCAATTTAATGATGAAAAATACAAAAAAAAAAAACGGAAAAAAACACAGAGGACATTTCTGCCGTTTAGTTATTGGGTGATTGACGAAGCCTGATCGGATTAGATAAACAGGGCCATGGAGGATAAATCACTTATCGCCTGTTTGCGAGAACTGCAGACTCTGTAGAATAAACAAAAACAATCTCCATCGGCCTAAATGAAATATAAAATGTTTCAGCTTAAAATAATGTTTGTAACGTCGCGAAGAAAGAACTGATTTTTTTTACAAGAGATGATTTGCTGAAAATAATGATAGAACGTCGAGTGAACATTATATAGATGGACTAAACACTGAATTTACCAGATTTGATTAAATGATGCGATATTCATTGTCAACAGACTTCAAAAAACGAACAGTTATTATAAAAATATATTCACTTTATGGCTCAAGATGAAGACAATATAAGTTTTTATCTGACCACGAAAGTTCAATATTGGTGTTTTTACGGCTAAGGATGCTGAAAAACATTTCTTACAGGTTTTACAATCATGATAACCTCAGCTGAAGCGTAGAAAAAATCCACTGATGCAATGGATATCAGTTTTAGTCGACCTTGTTAGAAAACCGATAATCAACGTGCCCGGAGTGTTTTCTATAACGTGATATGTTAGAACAGTGACAACAGGAAGCCAATCAGAAGCAAGTCAATGAAGTTTATGAAAGCTTGCAGGTGTCTAAGAAGATTGAATAAAATATTGTAACGTTAAAAATGTAAAAAAAAAAGAAATAATAAGTAGGAAGAACCTCTCTGAAGATAGCATTTACTAAAATGCAGTTGTTTTTATTATGCAAAGGGAAGCGTTCTCTTGAAATGGAAGACAACAAGTCAAAATTAAGTCAATCAAGAGAGAGAATTAAAGGAGCTACTTCACAGTTTGCGCATTCTGAAACGTTAAGCCTAAATTTTTCAAATTTGTCGTTTGCAATCCGTGTTTATCTTCTCCATCCTTAACCATCATTGTTCCTTAATGTTTCATCATCATCTCTTTGGTGTTTTTCCATCTTAGTAAACTACTATTTTCAGCTTTTCTTCAATTTGAAGGTTATTTTGTACAGGGCCAAAATACCGTGACTGAGGTCCCTTAATGACAGATATGTTCACTCGCTAACGCCCCACTCTTCATAAATGAAAACTACGATAAAAGTTGTAGTTGTTAGTTAAAGGGTGACAAGATGTGCGCACTTTGGCCAATGCGAGTTAATTTTATTCTCTATGGACGTTCAGTACAATCAGTGTTGAAGATCCCGAGAGCAATCTGCCAGTTTTGATCGGCGGCTTTTCAATTCACGGCCGGATCAGTGAAAACGGCTTGCATTGCCAGATGCTGTTCAATATTATACAAAGAAATAGACAGCAAATTCTGGGACGTATTGTGCCGAGCAATGACCAATCATCAGTACAGTTAATAACGTTTTCCAAGCTTGTTAGCTTCTAAGCCAAAGTTTCTGAGTGTCCAAGAAAATCTTATTAGAACATTATGCCCAAATTCAAAAATGGTGAAAAATACAAAACTCCCTAAAATGTCTCTGTGACTTGTAATGTATAACAAACAAAATGTTTTAATATATTTCTAGCCCTTGTCAAAGTAGAAGATAAGATGTCAGTTGTCGGAAGATAACTATCACTTAACACCGAAAAAGTTGATGATGCACTTGACTGGCATCGTATGATAGACAATCAATGAATAGGTAACAAGCGTTTAGGCTGCGACCAAAAACACAATACATATATTTCGGTAAAGAAATGATACCTCATTAGGCTAAGGTATCTGCTATAGCAGGGCAATATAGTTTCACAGTGTTCAAATTTTGTTACACATATTCCAGGTTTCACATCAGAACTAAGAGACCTACACATTCAACATGTACGGAATGCTACTGGAAAGTGTTCAGTACTACCTGACCGAGAAATACGGCGAGAAGACATGGGAAAAGATCCGCGAACGCGCTGAGATTACTGATCATTTGTTCATTACACACAAACGCTATAGCGAGAGCTTCATGAAAAAGATCGCCGATGCTGCGGAGGAAGTCCTTGGAGATGAAACCGACATGGTTAGCGATGATTTTATGCAATATTTTGGCGCTTGTTTTGTAAAGTTCTTCAGTCATTACGGATACGATCGGATCATTCGCGTGAGTGGTAGATATCTCCGGGATTTCCTCATCGGAATTGACAACCTACACGAGCACATGCGCTTTGGTTATCCAAAGATGTCGTCACCAAGCTTCTTCTGTGAAGAAGAAACGAGTACAGGTCTAACTCTGCATTATATTTCAAAACGAAAAGGCTTCATGTACTATGTGATTGGACAAGTCAAGGAAATCGCATCTTCGTTTTACAACTTGGAAGTGGACATCAAAATACTCAGCAATAAAGTCACTAACAGTACTACCCGCGTGGTTTACCGCCTTGGTTTCAACAACACTGGGCACAAAGTTCGCGGGCCAAACTCATTAACTGTTCAGAGCAAGCGCAGTGTCAGTGTTGAAGTGTTTTTTAGCATATTTCCTTTTAGCTTTGCCTTGTCGTGTGATATGACAATCAATATGGCAGGGCATGGAATCATATCAACTATTGGAAGTCGAATCATCGGTAATGACGTAAGAGAGATGTTTACAATGAGGAGACCAAACGCAGAGTTCACTTGGGAAACAGTAAGAAACTCAGTTGATTTTTAGAGACTAATCGTTAAAGATATTTTGCATTGTTCTTGTAAGAACCTGTAAGTTAAGTCTGCATACGAGCCAAGTGGTCCATCAAACCGGCGCTTATCTCCGGTTTTTGTAGCATGAGGTGATTAGCAGTATTTCTACTCTCCTTGGTGCAGAAATGGAGGGAGGCACTGTGAGAGTTAAGTGTCTCGCCCAAGAACACAACGCAATGACTCTGGCCAGGGCTCGAACACAGACCGCTCGATCCGGAGTCGAGCGCATTAACCATGAAGCCTCCACTGCACTGTTATTATACACTAAGATAATGGGAAATATCGATTGGTATTCACATTTAGATATTATCGAGACGCTAAAATCTCTTCTACGGAGATTTTGCAGAATAGACTTCAGCTTGTTTACCTTTAACAACCTTGTTAACAATTATTTTCCTGTTATTTATTAAGTTAGAGCTGGGTTTAAACTTTTGGTTTATATGCGCTTTTTAGTTTAAGACGAGACATGTGATTTTTGAGTTGGTCTGCACGATTCCAACAACCCGTCGTCCGACAATGGCAAATTTTAGGATGCAGCAGTCCTCTTTCAACTTACAAAGCAACGGCACGGAATGCCCTCTTTTTCTCTCCACTGAGAAGGAAAGCTACGAGTCCACGATGTCCTACAAACCTAAACTCCATCTCAAAGGCATGATGAAGTTCATGGAATCCTGGAATAAGATACTCTACATCTGCTCGCCATTGTACGTTAGTATTTGTTCGTAGTGCACCAGATTATCATACCTGCTGCAATTTTCGTTTCTCACCCCATGATCTACCTGATTTTACACTCTGTATCTCAGTGTTTTTGGAGTTTCCCGGTATCTCAAGGAAGGCCAGGGAAATGCGCCGACCACAACGTATTGAAAATATAAGTTCGAAATGGAAGGCTATTTCTACCGTAAGAGTTACAGATCTACTGATCTCTCTGTCGAGTTGCTCTTGTCAAGACTAGGTAAATGTAGCCAAAAATAGTGTGGAGAGTGACAAGAGACCAGGATTTAGCCAATCACTTGGCATGTCGGTTGTAAGCGCCCGCTTCTAAGCCGCCCCATTTATAGCCAGGAAGTCTAGGAATCAATGTTTACTTATAACGTATGTTTGATAATTCTTTACATGTTGTTTACTATTAGTATACGGGTATAAAGGAGTTACGCCGTGATATGCCTTACTTTGTTCTAAACAGAATAGGAGGAGTGGAAGAGATGACTCGCATTGGTCTCTATATGAACGACCTGGGTTTGCATGACACGTCACATGAAATGGCGCTCTCTGGAATAAAACCGCTGCCCCAACTAGAGATGGCCAGAGACCATGTAAGTTTCAAGAGGTTGTGAGACTCGAATCTTAGGCATCGAGCTTGGTGCACACTAAGGCGGTTCTGCAATGCTTTCTAAGAGAACCAGATAGTTAAACGTGACAATTAACACCAAGGGATTGCACTTAAAAGGCGACTAAGCTTAAGTCTTCGGGAACAAGCCACATTTACATTACTTTTTTGTATCCTGCCTGTTCTGACGTTTGAAGGTGCACTGGAGACGTCAAAACCTCCTCGTATTCACCTTAATATGCGAATTTAAAAAATGACGTTTATATAAACAACGGCACTGATGCAACTTAAGTGGATGGGCTCCAATACTGTTGTAGCTTTGGAAGGAAAAGCTAAAAGTCTCATTAATTAACCTTTTCCTCCCGGTACATGTAATCCTAACACCATAAATTCGCGAAGAAATGAATACTTTTGTCTTCGTCTTCTAATTTACGAAGGATAGAAAATTGGACATTAATGACATCCCAGTATAAGCTAGTATAGATACCGAAGAAAGTGTGTTATTCGCCGTCATCTAAATGATAGCTTAATTTTATTTGGCTAACTAGGAATTCGACAAAGGAAAGGCCTTAGAAGAAAACATGGAGAAGCTGGCGCAGGAGAGAAAAAGAAGCGAGGAGCTGCTCTGCAGAATGATGCCAAAAGCCATCGCTGACAGATTGAAACTCGGAGGAAAAGCAGTGGAAACTTGTGAGGTAAATTTGCTAAGATGAAAAGTAAAGATGGAAACCATTTTACGAGGTTTATAAGAAGTCTTCATTCTATTCTTTGCCTGTCACCTTCTCTTTTCAGTTCATGATAAGTATATAGATGTAGTTGAAAAATCATGAGGTCCGTATTGGGAAAAAATTGGTTGAAATTCCTATAGTGTATGAGACCGAGCCGTGCATAACGTATTGCAACTGACAAACAAAACAAGTAAGGGCTGAACGAGCTACAGCTTAAAGAGGCTAGATAACGCTATTTTAGGCAATTTCAGCACTGATCAGATGGTCATAGAATTAACTAAAATATCACAAAAACGGCTCAAAACTATAGAAGATCTCAAACAAAACACAGGAAAGCCAAGAAGGGACATGGACGGACAAAACTGGAGAGGATTAAAATGGATTGCATTTGGGTAAATTTGAAAAACGTTGGCCCACCTGTTTTCACATTTATATCAGATTGTATCAAAATGTAATTTACACAGCTAGGAAATCATTATCAGTTGTTATGTGGCCGTGATTTTGCAAAATGAAAGACTTTTGCTCTGCCAATTTGACGTTTAGAGCTCATAGTTAACAAAATTAGACAAAACTACCTAAAATAGCGTGACCTAGCCCATTTAATTTAAGAAGCGAAGTGTTATTACATTGTTCTCATTTACGACTTTGCTAAGCAAAAGACATGCATTCCGATGGGCAAGCTTACCCGAAAACCTTGTGTCCACTCTAAGATTGTAATTATTGATCCTTTATGGTACGCTTCGGTTGCAATGTATCAGGCGAATTTGGTCGAGCTATGGTTCGTAATTTAGTGAGACATAGCCGAGCCAAAATTTCCATGGCAAGACCAAACGAGGTTGATGTCAGGCCGAAACGTAAAGCCGGTTAGGTAATTTGCAGCGTGAATCACCCTGTTAAGACTAACATTCTTATTTTAGTATTTTGAGAACGTTACTGTGATGTTTAGTTACCTGGATGGCTTTGTCACCATTTGTTCTCAAGTGGACGCCATGGAAGTTGTCAACCTTGTCAACAATATGTTCATTTCGTTCGACAAGTTGACTGAACAGCATGATGTTTATAAGGTAAAAACAATAAGTAAAATAGCTGACGGATCAACGAAAAATATGTTCTCATCTGTTAATCCCAGCAGCTACAGTGCGTCATTGTAACCTGTTGGCAAGAGACTTCGAAGTTGATTATCAGCGAAGTCGACACTCATTCTAGCATTACAATCACACATTTTCTAAATGGCTCTTTGTCTCTATACCAAAACGAGTCTTAATTTTCATACATGAATAGTTTCTTTTGAGGACTTGTTTTCTTATAGAAGAAAAAGGCAACTCGGACATGGTTTTTGAATAAAGTCCATTGTCTGACACGTTTGGAATGACATCTGAGGGGCGTCTAAAGATGAAATACGTGAGCTAGTCTGACAAAAATAGACGACATTTATCTCTATATTAAAAAAGATCGATTTCATTAATCGTGCGTGTGTTATAGTTTGAAACCTTAGGGGATGCAATGTACATGACGGTCAGTGGTGCTCCAGTGAAGAAGGCGCGTCATGCTGAGCCGATCTCGGCAATGGCCCTTGATATGTTACAAGCTGTTACACTCCTCAAGAATCCCGCCAATAAGAAGCCGATGACAGTAACTATTGGTAAGTTACGACATTTCCCCGCAGTAGAATTTTTAGACTCTTTACGATTCAGTTGACAGACGCAAGAGAAATTAAACTTAAAGTTGAATTTCACGTCCCTTTACCTGTTATCCATCAGGTATGCATTCTGGCCCCGTGGCAGCGGGATTAGTTGGTGAGAGGACACCCCAGTACTGCCTGTTTGGAGACACGGTTAACATTGCCTCACGGCTCAGGACTACTGCCCTAGTAAGTTGCTCGAAAAATCTTCGTATTCTTTTCTACTCAATTTTTACCGCCGGGCTGGGCACAGGTAGCGCAAAATACTTCAAGGCAATTACATCTAGGGTAGATGATGGCAGGCTGGAGTCCGGATGCAGAGGTCCGGATATAGACAACATTTATCAGGGGCACCCAACGACCGTTTTCTCTCAAATGCTTTTAAACGGTGTATTGGGCTATCTGGAGTACTTTTAGAGCTCTGTGGGTTAACTTTAGGTTGCGCTAAAAAAATTTTATCTTTTCGGTTATTCTAGGGGAACTTGAGTATTCTCGAGTTTATTAGGGCTTTTTTGTCCATTTCCCGAAAACCTTAGGTCTTATCGCCTTTCCGAAAATGATAGCTGACCTTTTTTCGGTACTCAAAACGACATTTTTAACAATCCGAAAACAACAGACATTAAATTTCTCATATCACGAAAGTTCGAGGTGACAATCCTCAGAGGGGATTAAAGGCCCTCCGAACAGATAATTTACCGAATTATCCGTTGGGTGCCTCTGATTTATTTTGCTCTTACTCTACTCCTTCGACCTCAGAGTGTATAACTGGGAATTATCATTCGATGCATTTTTTTTCGTCCTTTTCATTGGTCGAGAGCCAACCACACGACCTGCAAATGGCTGCCTACAAATAATGGTCTTTTCATGCGTAGTACCATCTAAAAGTGTTTTGCTGCAAATTATATTCTGCTCAATGCCTCATTGTAACCATGATCGCTAGTGCAAAATGGCAGATTTCTTCCCTGAGCTATCAGAGAGTGATTTAAATAATAATTGATCTGCTCTCCACTGACAAAGCACGTTACTTTGCTCAATCTCGTTCAATACTTGTTAATTATTTGCATAAAATTGTTAAGGAAACTTTTCAAAATGCCAGATTTTTACTTGGAATCGACAAATATGGTCAAATAAGACATCCTGGTGTAAGCTTAAAGAATCCAAGTGAATTCATCTTACAGAAATGGACGCTACGTAAGAGCATCGACGAAGTAGAAGAAAGTGGAGTAGAAGAAAGTGAGGCGATACTATCTTACTATAAATAAACCTCTTTTTTCTTTACTTTTCAGCCAATGAGAGTCCATATCAGTGAAGCGACTAAAAAATGCTTGGAAAATACAGAGTTTCGAACGGAATTTCGTGGTGTAGTAGAACTAAAGGTGATGAAAATAACTGTTATTTAACGAACGGAATAAGGAAGTCATATTGGGAAATAAATATCAAAGTAAACTTCTATTCTCCCGAGGTCTCTTGTAAGCATTTTGATCAGCCAGTCAACCAGTCTGTCAGCCAGTCAGCCAGTCAGCCAGTCAGCCAGTTAGTCAGCCAGTCAGTCAGTCAATCAGCCAGTCAACTCTGTTTTGTAGCTGCGTCGTTAGGCAAAGTGGTGGCAATTTTTTTACCCTCCGTTTGTTTTCAGTCAGCCTTATCTTCTGGTTTCCACCAGTTCCTCTGTTGTTGCTAGCCTGAGCAACTGATTTTGCATTGTACACTACTTCTAATGGTTGTTAGTTTTGCGATTGTTGTTAGTAACAAAGTTTTTCCTTTTTCTTTATCAACAGGGGAAAGGAAAGACCCGCACTCACTGGCTCATTGGAAGGAAGGCTTCAACATAACATCCCTGATACGTTTCTGTGATATGACGCAAAAATATTTGGGATATTTGTAATGTGAAGCTATTTTTACATTTCGGTTTTCCAATTCTTTTGTACATAAAGCCATGCGCACAAAAACATTACGTGTAATGAAAGACAAAGGCAAAAAACTTAACGACACAAAAAAAACTAGTTATATTATGACCAAGATTCCTAGCCCTAACAGGCCGAGTAACTTGACATCGAGAGTTCACAGCCCACTTCTTTTGCCCTGGGAAGTGAAGAAAAGTGGGAAGGGAGGGGAGGGGGAAATTTAGCTATCCAACATTTTGTTCACATCTGCATAATGGACTCAGTAAAACAAGTAAAAAATGAAAACACTGTTTACAAAGAAATGACAACTACCTTGGGATTTTGAAGTGGGAACTTACAAGAAGTCCACTCCTACCCAATTGTTCGTTAATTGAGTGAGTGAAGCATTTTATTCATGATCTGTGGCTCGGATATTGAGGGTCCCAAGCATTCACGTTAATCAGTAATTAATTGATTGTTTGACCTGTTAAGAGATTGAAGGTCAATTAAATTGGACGTTTCTCGCCCTGTTTAAATTGTAATTTTTGTGATTAGATATCAGCAAAAGAAAGAACACAGTGTTTATTATTAGTATTCAAGTTGGTAGGCCAAAAAGAGGAGTGATAGATCCAGTCGGAGCTGAAATGAGCAATCACTTAGCGTTTACTCTCTTTCTGCTTATCAAACTCTTATCAGTTTTCTAGGGACAATGTTCACTACGTATATGGGAAAATAAAAACATATGCTAAATACCATATTATATATATTTTTTTTTTTTTTGTACATTTTGAAAAAAGCCCGTCAACTGTGGAAACAATTTAATTTAATAAACACACTACTTGTGTACTAAGCACAATAGATATGCCCGATAAACACAATAGCTGACTGGTAAGAGTTTGCATCATCCAGTGGCCCATGAGACCATCTTTTCCACCCCCCCTCCCCCACCCCCCCGTACCCTATCCAAAAGAGTACCAAGAGCACAACGCAGTGACCCCGACCAGGGCTCGAACCCAGACCGTTTGATCCGGAGCCCGGCACGCTCACCGCGGTTCTTTTAGAGTTGCAATATGATGCTTGCATTGTCACCTATGTTGCCTGTGCTACGAGTAAAGACTAGTCAATAGGCCATACTAAAGTTTCTTAGGCATACAAAATGTTTGTTCTTTTTGCTTGTTTCTTTTTTTATCTTGCCGTTGATGCTGTTGTTGTTGTTGTTGTTGTTGTTGTTGTTGTT